GGGGGGGGAGCAGCCCTTACGTGAGCATGGTGGCACCAGCGCGCCCAGCAGGGAGGAGGAGGAGGACCAGGGGAGGACGACTCACCTGCAACACCACAAGACCGGCAAGGACGTTAGAGAAAGCCCCCGACCGGCCCCGGCCCCGGCCCGAACCGACCGCGCGTCCCCGGCTAGGCGCCCTATTGATCCCCCGCCCGCCGTCCTGCCGCCCTCTGTACCACCCGCGGGTGCGCGCGCGCCCGTCCTCCAGGCCGGCCGCCCCGGGCAGCTGGCGCCTGCATCCCCAGCCTAGCCGCAGCCACCTGACGCCGTCGGTACCACCCGCGGGTGCGTGCGCGCCGGCCTCCAGGCCGACCGCCCCGGGCAGCTGGCGCCTGGCCACCACGTGCCGCTCTCCTCTGCACCACCCGCAGCTGCCACCTGCCGCCGAGCCTCCGGGTGCCTGCGGGTGCCTGCGGGTGCATGCGGGTGCCTGCGGGTGCCTGCGGGTGCCTGCGGGTGCCTGCGGGCGGGGAGCCCTCTACAGTTCGCCCTCTGCCGCGCCACCTGCAGCCTGTAAGTGGCCGCAGCGCTGGTCCCGAGGCGCGGCTGCTGCTATTAATTAACGCCGACCCGCCCGCCCGTCGCCATGGCGACAAAGGACCTCAACAAGTCCGCGGCGGGCCCGGCCCGACCCGGCCGCGCGTCACTGGGACGGGCCGGACGGACCCAGCCAGGCACACTCCAAAGAAAAGTGTCCCCCAGCGCAGCGCGGTCTGTCCAAGGGGGCCGCACTATACCGCACAAGCGGGCGCCCCGGCGGCGCGGCAACCTCCAAGCGCGTCGCGCGCGGGCCTATTCCCGTCCGTTTTGATTTGCATAACGGCCCCCGGTCCAGCGGCGTGCGAGGCGCGAGGTCCTCCTCCTGCCGCGGGTCCTGCCCTAAGCTAGTGGCGCCGGCCGCGGCCGCCGCGCGAGTTCAACGCACCTGCAAGAGACTTTTTATTAAGCATTTGCTCTGCCCCGCTATCTCCGCGCCTCTAAACCCTGCAATACACACACCCGAGCGAGTGAGTGCCGAGCAAGGAGAGGGCGGGGCAGGGCGGGGCGCGCACACCTGCTGGACCCACTGCGTGACGCGAGCGGGGCAGGGCGGGGCGGCCTTGGTGACGGGTTACGCGCGCCAGCGTGGCTCTGCTTGGCTCTGCTCGCCTCTGCCGGGCCCTGCCCCCGCGGGCCTGGCCGGGGCCCCACTGACTGCACCGCGGTGCGCCCGCTGCACCCACACGGGGGCCTCCCGTCCCGTACCTCCCCCCCCCCCTTCCCCTTCCCCTCGCACGTACAGACGTTACGGCGATAAGAGTGACGCGGCACAAAACGTGACACGGTGTGACACGCCGGCTACAACACACACACACGCAGTCGCCAAACACTCGCCGCCTAGCGCGGGGTCACAAAGAAGGTGCGCAGCGCAAACGCCGTCGTCGTGTACACTGCCATAAAAAAAATAATATCCACTGAAGCAGCGCGCGATTTGTTAGAGTGTCGCGGATTTCGTACGACCGCAGGTCGATTGCACTGCAGATTGACCAACCATCAGGCGTTTAAAGGTCGTATTGGGGGTTGGGGGTCATGCCCACCCCCCCTACCCCTTTTCAAACGTACCCACTGTAAACTGGTTGGCGTTCTTCTTCTCAGAACGCCAAAAATTGGCGTCTTTGAACGCCAATAATTTGGCGACATAAGACGCCAACCAGTTACAGTGCCAGCTCCTGACCATATGCTGATATCACTTTTTTTTTTCCAGAGTGGCGTCTATGAGTAGTCAAAGGAATGTTGGCAGCGGTAGAGCAGATAAACATCTGCCTCTGCGTAAACTGAAGCGCGCCACGCCACGCGGCGGCGGGGCGGGGCAAGGAGGGGGGCGGGGGGTCGTCACTACATCAAAATAGTGCGCACAGAGCTTCAGAGTGGCGAAAGGAAGTGGAAAGTGAGGAACCAAAATGCAGGGGGGAAAAGGGGCGAGAAGGGACAAGCAGTGAAAGTGGCATGACAGGTGGGGTGTCGAGCATCGATTTGGAGCAGCAGGACGACGCCATGGTATCAACAGCGCGCGAGCGGTTTCGAGCAAGGTCACGAGGAGAAGAAGGGCTCGCGCGGCCCGCGGGGTGAGTAAGTAGTGAGTTATGCTCGGCTGGAAGAGAAGGATAAAAGGGGAGAGCGCGGGGAGAGGAGAGAGAAAGAGAGGGATGGGAGAAGAGGAGAGAGGGGGGGGCATTGGCAAGCGCTTCGCTTCCGGGCCCGGCGAGGTGCCTGCTAATTAGTGGGGTACGTGTGCTTCTGCTACCTCCGCAGTGCCAACAGGACAACACTTTCACGGGGCGGCCGGCGGCCGTGCTAACAGGATTAACGCGAATGTGCCATAACTAGAGCAATAAAGCGGCAAAGCCATATCAATATCAAGACCACAAACAGAGTTCTCTAGACATGAATGACTTTTTTGGGTGCACAAGAAAAATAAAGTAAAATGATGGACATGGTGAATTCCCAGAAACAACAAACGCACATGTAAATGGTGATGATGGCAGATGATGTGACACCAAAACGTCAGGCCTCTTACTTCAGGACAGATTAATGATCAATGAGAGAACTACAATGACTACAAACATCAAAAACTGATACAGAACATTTACGTGAAATGAATGGAAAATTAAAAATGATATGTCACACTGCAAAAGATTCTGAGGCAAAATGGGAGATTGATGTTTTTTAAGTAAATAGAAAAAATAAGAGTACTGGCAAAAAAACGTTGCCGAATTCATCATAAAGTTGAAATCACACAAATTAACCCCTTTCAACAAAGATGATCATAATTGGGACAAAGCTGAATTAAATATGATGAGAAGTAGGAGACAATCAAAATGTAGTAGTTCTATAAGGATAGAGTTCGACAAGCAGGCGGCAGCTTTTAATAGGCATTATAATAAGGCTCAAAGCAATGGTTTTTGTTTATTTTCAATTGTGTTAAAGCAATTTACTTATGAGTATAAAATAATATATTTTGTGTAGCTTATCAAGCAAGAACAGCAATTTCCAGCCAATTGCCATAAATGATTGAAAGGATTAAATCCATTATTTACAAACACAAATTGTCTCTCCATCATAGATGACATCTGTCATAAATACCAAACTAAAAACTTCTCCAAATAAACCAAAACAAACAAAAACACTGAAAAATAATAAGTACTCACCTTTGAGATAAGGGAGGGCTTGTAATTCCATTTCTCCAGCATTCCGGTATCTTGATGAGCCCTGCGACTTTTTTTTCTTTTTCTTGAGTGAAGCCTTGGAGCCCCAGGGATCTATTCTATCCACAAACGCGCCTGATGCACTCATTCTCTCCGAGATTCCACTGTTTTTTCACTCAGAATCACACTAACATCACCAAAGTCAGTCTTCACACAAATTCCACTTGCATTCCACTTGACAAATGTGTTGGGGTGGTGTTATCCAATCGGGCTTGTCGGACTTAAGCCAATCGGTCACGTACATAAGGTTTGAGCATTTTCCAGGCCGGCACTGCACCACAACACACCCTCGGGACAGGTGCAGCTGCAGACGGGTGCAGCCAGCTGCAGGTCCACCCTAGCCTAGCCTTGGGCTCGGGCCTTCTTGTTCCGTGCTTCTTGATCGTGCCGCGGGTGGCTGCTAACCTCGGCAGAGCAGGCCAGGCAGGCTTGTGTCGCTAGGCGGACCAAAGCGTAGGCTGGGGGCTGGGCGCCGATATTATTACACTTTTTCAGGCGATCAACACTGCATTTTCTCCCACTGATAAGGTTGGCGTCGCTCCGGACTAAAAGAAGACGGTGGTCACGGAACACGAACGGGCGACCGCCATCACCAAAGCACTACACCTTCGTTCTTGACTTTAAAATGGGCCAAACCCCGACGGACTTCATGTACAGGCTTGCAGTCATGGTTCCACGCAACGCACCAGTCCGACGGGCGTGCGAACAGATAGTCCAGAGGTTAAAAAAAACACACGCAAACACTGTCTGACAAAAACAAATTTGCCGAAAACTACATAAAGCTGAAAATAGTGTGTCGTGAATTGGCGTTGCGTTCTGTTCCGTTCCGTCCTCTTCTCGTGATTAGCGAGAAAAAACAAACGCCTGTCGTAGTTGTGTTTACTTCCGCTGCCTCGTGAGAGCGCGGCTCTCGTGCGTAGCTTTCTTCCCTCCTTTGACGTTCTGCTTCTTTTAGACGTTTATAAAATCGTTAAGGGAATTTTAATTTTAATTTAATAAACAATACAAGCCTATGAGTGGCGTATTTCAATCAACAATACGACTAAGTAATTTCCCCGTTCCATTCAAACCCTGGCTGATTGTAGAATACAACAGCCGTCAGACTCAAGCAGACGACATACTAGAAATTTTTTGAGGTTTCGAGCAGGCGTGTAAACAGATTTGTTGATGAAATCTTTGTGGTGTTTCCCTTAAATTCACATTTTCTGCTTGAAAATGTGGTTTTCAGACCCCACTAAATTTCGTAATTCAATCAGCGTCTACTCTGCTGTCTAAATTCATTTTTATTGTGGTTACTTAAAGTTGTTTGTTCATTACGGTATTTTTTATAAAATATCTAAACAATGTTAGTTTGTCAACAATTTACATCCTAAAGCTTTAAAAGGCAATTGGAGGTGCCCTCCTGTGTACTTTTAAGACTGACTACTGTGACAACTTTTTTCTTGCTAAAAACACTAATATTACCATGGTAATAACTAATTCTTAGTTTTGTAATTGATATTTTAGAGATGTTTATTTCACTTTTGTTATTTTTTCTTGCAGAGTCGTTGTCCTGGTATGTACTGTGGAAGAACTTTACTCGAAAGTAGCAATTTGTCAGAATGCGGAGCCTGTCCAAGAGGGTTCCGCTCAAATTCTTCATCAATTTGCGAACTGTGTAAAGACAATCCAATATTTTATGATTGGCTTTATTTAGGATTTGTTGTTATTACCGTGTGTGTTCTACATTTGTTTTGTATTGACACAACAGTCAGGAAAAAGGGGTAAGCTTTTGAGTTTCCATTGTTGAGCATGTCAGCTAAGTGACAAATTTATTATTTTGATTTGTTTGTTTATTCCAGTCTTGCTCTTCATGTATGCGCTGTAATAGAAACAGTTGCAGCGGCAATTTTAACAGTCTTAGTTGTAGATCCTGTTGGTGAATTCAGTGTGAGGTCTTGCCATACTCATCACTTATCTGATTGGTACACACTCTTTCATAATCCAAGTCCTCAATATGAAAATACTCTTCATTGCACTCAAGAAGCTGTGTACCCATTGTGAGTACCTCTTTCACTGATAGTAGGACAGTAGTCAATAGAAAAGAATTGTCATCTCATAACTAAAAAAAAATCCTCACATAATGCAGTCTCATTAATTTGCAGGTACACCATGGTTTTTATGTTTTATGCAATTGCTGTAAGTTTAATGCTCCTCATAAGACCTTGGGTTGCTGGCCACTTCTTACCAATATCTGGTAAATTGAGCATTTATGCTGCTATGTACTTCTTCCCATTGTTGTCTCTAATACATGCAGCATTTGGTGGTCTTATATGTACGTTTTCATTATTTTTAGTGTAACCGTGTAACTGTGTTTGAAACAAACATATTTCTTAATATTTGTATTTTAATGTTACAGATTTCTCATTTCCCTATATTATAATTGTATTATCTGTCATATCTAATGCAGCTCATTATGCTCTTGAGCTTGATCAGGTAACAAGGAAGAAAAATCCTGACTTAGCTGTAATCAGTAATATTTTGGCTAATGTTTCTCTATTTTGTTTCAGTCTATGTCAGCTCTTGTGTTAAGTACTTTCACAGATACTGGCAATGTTGTTACTGTGTTGGTTCATTGGGCTCTTAATGCATATGGAATCATTTCTATCACACAGCTTACTGAGCCCTTAACACACAGTTTGCTGATACTTCTTGTTCCCACCCCAACAATATTTTACATTCTAACTGCAAGATTTACTGATCCAAAAAAACTTCATGCTGACTGACACGTGCAGTACGCCTTGCAGTATGCGGCAACTCAAGCACCTGCTGTGCTTGGGGGGACAAGGCAAGGCGAAGGACATGCATTTATTCCTATGCAACAATGCAGCAGTTTCCGGGAGTATGTTGTACCTGAACTTAGGGATTTCAGACCATTGGAAGTCTCTTTCCCTTCAATTCAAGCTCGGACAAACACACATGTTTGCATTAGCTAAAAATATTTCATAAAAGTGAACTATCACCTAGGTAGGAAATTCTTTAAATGTGATAATAATTATAAAGTAATCTAAACTTCATTTTTACATGAAAATGCTGATAATCAGGACAACAGTGATAGACATGACAGGTTGTACGTAAATTTCAACCATTGCTGCAGGTCATAGGCCTTGACTAACAGTAAACTTTCATGGTATCAAAATACTGTTTTCGGCAAATCACATGCATATTTTGTAAAGGTTAAAGATGAAGTAGGGACGATTGATTACCAAGTAAAATTGGACTAGACCAATTAAATTTTGAAGCCTGTGACATAGTTGCTTGTTTTTCTTTTCTGTTTAATATATAGTAAGAGTATATCATTCAATGATTTTATCTGTAGTAAGTTAACGAAGGTTATCGCTCTCTAAGTCTTGTATAATATGGTTCAAATTTTATTTTTGTCGTATGAGGGAAAGAAAACACAGAATAACCCTCTTATTACTAGGGTATTATTCTGTGGGTAGAAATCATATTCGCAGTTTAAGAAAATAGAAATTCCAGTTAGAAACCACTGAAATGCTACATTTAAATAAAAACAGAGGTATATAATTTTGGACCATACAGGAAAGACGTAAATGTGGTCCAAAAATAGACCGATTATAGACTTTCGATGTCTACTTACAATATTTGTAGATGTGACAATTCTGACTGGGAAAAAATGTACTTATGATTCATTAGCAGTGTCTTAGGTAGGTATCAATTTATTTACTCTATTCTGAAACACTATATAAAACTATATAAAACTTCAACCACGAGCACAATTAATATACCCAGCCAACACAATCAGCATCAAGATTAACAGCAAATGAGAGTCTAGGATGACAATTTTAATCTATCAACTAATTACAAAAACATATATTCCATTTTGAAATCACTGCATGGAAAATGAAACATACTAGAGCAAGTCTTTTTAAAATTTCATATGTAATTCAAAAATACAGTATAAGTTATTTTGCTGCCAAAGCAAAGATATTGAGCTATAATAATGCACTATGGAATGAAAAGGGAATATCCTTCCCTTTACAATATTGTCAATTTATGCTATAGCAGCAAGGACTTCTGAAGGTAATTTAAAACCACCAGAATCATATTCCAATATACAACCTAAAATGCGAGGAACGGACACAACAGTGCCCGAGATCAGATGTGCAAATTGTGCTGATTTCCCGGGAACAGTTTCACAACATATCAATAAACGTTGACTGATATAGTCATCACAGAGACTCAAACTTCCTACTTCTATATACTTCGCCATATTCTTGGAAAACATTTGAATACTAGCTCTTAAGCTCTCCCATGGTTTGAGGTTTATTGGTGGCAGATAGACAACTCTAAAGTGATAACCTAAGGTTTCATACAGATCAATGATTTCCTTTAAACATGATTTAAATTCTTCCATTGCCATCTCTTTATCAGCGGCTGCAACAAATGTTTCAACAGCTGAGCTTTGCCATGTTGAAAACAATCCATGTAGTTCTTCATCACCGTTAGGGTTATAATGTCGACCCATAGCAACGTATCGCAGAGGTAAATTTTTAACATTTGTAACAGTTTTAGTGTGGAAAGCACAGAACGATGCCAAGGAAGCCCCTCCAACTAAGTGAAGTCTAGCAGTTGCATCCTTAGAGTCAGAATCTTTCTCTAGGGTAAAAACAGAGCTTGCATCCCTAGGATCCAAACCAACACCCTCAACAACAAGGCTTTTGCCAAAATCATAGTTTGACATGGTAATGAAACCAATTTCCTTTAGTTTATCTTGAATTAAATAGCTTAGGCCTATTTCAAACTGTGCAGCTTCATCTTTAAGGAAGTAATAAGAAGAATCATAATACTCAATTAAACCTAATTTGTTAGCAATTTCTATATGGCTAGGGCTATGACTACTGGTATCTGGCTTCACTCCAAATTCGTGCACAATTTTTTCACAATCATTTAGAGGAGTTTCAGGGTGGATATCATTTGGAAGAGCTAAGCCACCTAAAATTGCTTTCTTTTCTACATCCCACAGTTCTTTTTTGACTGAGTTGAGCTTTTCTTTGACTTTATCAAGTTCTGCCTTCAAATCATTTAGAACTTTAGGTTTTTGGGAAGATTTTGCTGCATTAAACTTCACCAAGTTTGCTGACTTATCACTGTCTAATTGTAACTTGAACTTTTTCAAGTTCTCATACTGTTGCCAACTAGACTTCAGTTGAGGGAGGTCAACAGTGAGACCTCTAGACTGTAGATTTTTAATTAATTTTTCAGTGTCCTCAAACCTGCGGTTGAGATTAACATAGGGCGACAAAACAATGCATGATTCACTAGCCAAGTCACCAGTGATATATAATGATGATGTGCATCCTCTTCTGCATTTCTCTGCAGCAGTGTACTGCACACTTCGCGCTACAGGCAAAAGCCTTGCAGATTGGGAAAACATTGTACCAGAATTTCAAAATTCAAGCTTCGTCAGACATTTCATCATCTTCAAGTTTGGCACGCTTGCAATCCTCTGTAATAGGCTTCTGAGTTTCGATCTTGCGTTTTTGAGGAGCTGTATAATTACCTAAGCCTCCTGCTTTTTCTGATTCTTCAATGGTGTATGGTTCCAATTCAAGGGCCTTCATGCGTCGCTTGTGAACTTTAGTCCTGAAGTGCTCATTTAATGCTTGGTCATTAATGAAGTAGCGCCTGAAAGAAGCAGAAAAGACTTAATAAACAAGTACTACAGGGAAGTTGAACAGCAACTTGCCTACAGCAAATCTATAGATATGTTAACTCACGCGCAATGAAGACAGTAAAATTGAGCTTTTCCAGGTTTGTCAGTGTCAACCTGCTGTTTGAGTAGTTTCTCAGCGTTCTCTTCTTTTAAATCTTCGTCAATCTGAGAGGGACAAAGTTGACATTACTGTACCAGCACTCATAGAAACAATTATTATTATTATTTGTTAAATGAGGTACATGCCACATATATACAAGATAAAAAGTCTAATGTAAAAAATAATTTGAAATCGAAAAAAAGTGTCACTGCACAAGATGCGAGAAAAACTAGAAGGACAGATTTAAAACGACCGAGGACGCATGGGGTAGGATAGCAAAGAATTGCGACGCCTATGAAACATAGGTCAAAGGCACAAGACCGAACCTGATCAAGATCCTTCGTCCTCCTCTTCGTGCGCCACTTCTTCTTCAAATGAGTGTCACCGTAGTGGTACTTTTTACGTTTGTAAGTCATAACTTATTAACAAATAATCGCAAGACTTCAGGACCGGTCGTAACCGACACGTGCGCATTGGTTAAAGTTAATGATTTCAACTGCGTGCAAAGCTAACAATACACATGCAGAAATTATTGATAACTGTGTACTACGAGGGTGCCTTCACGGATCACGTTGTCTGCCCACAAGAGTGTGATGTGCGTGGATATCTTGTAAAAAACTACTTACGATGGATGAAAACGGAATTAAGCGTTGACTTACACTACAGTTCCGCCAGTTTAATCTTTCACTCATAAGGATAACGCTTAGTTTCAGAATAAAAGCAAATATCAAATTGACCAGAAAGACCCCACCAAACAACAGCCCGGAACCGTTAGGAAAACACCCAACTACCGCCTTGTCGAAGCGAACATACACCGACTAAGATAGAATTTTCATAAGGCGGTAAACAAGAAGTTTTGGTTTTAAAATCAAAATTCTTATGATTGTGATCCTTGTATGACTTAAATATCTAGCTTTTTTTGTCCGTAGCTCCAACGTTATTCAAAATTTATTCAAAAATTGCATCTTCTTTTAATGCATTAATGAAAAACTTGGAAGAGAACATTTCCGCCACTCATAGCATCCATGGTCGACGCCATCTTGAGCGCAAGTTGCGTCAAGCTTCGGGCCTAAACCAACGTTTGTTTCGCTCCTCCCGTTGTGTACACATTTAAATGGGTTTTAAGGCGGAGTTGAGCTTTCGGTGCTTTCTGGTGCATTTGTGGAACTAATAATGTTAGTTGGAGATTAATATTCTATCAAAATACGCTGGATTTTACGATATATGTGGAAGTGCAACGTTGACTGAGGAGGGAGTTGGGCAGCTTACGGAGACGAAGACTTGTTCGTATTGGATTAGCTTCGGCCGAGGAGATCAGCGGAGAACCCGCAGCCAAACCGTGTGATGGTGTAACTAGTGGTGCAAGTGCTTTATTATGGCCCAGGTTCTTAACAAGGACCCTATCACATATCAAAAAGAACGTGATGGATTTCTACGGGAGCTCCAACACTTCCACGATACCCGGGGGTGAGTACGCCGCTTTGTTTTGGTCTGCCATGGATATGATTTTGGAGGCTATGGCCCAAACAAATCATCAATTTGTCCGTTCGCACATTAAAACCCGTGTTGTTTTCCTGCAGGACTCCCTTCCGAAGAGTCCCTCAGATTAATGGTCAGGAGGTTGACCTGTACCTCCTCTACGTCCTTGTTACCGCGCATGGAGGCTGGTTAAAGGTGAGTTTTGTTTTGTGAAACTTGTAGTTGTGACCAGTAGATTGCTAAATGTGAAGCAACGCAGGGCGAAATTTTACAGTGTATTTTCAAGTGACAGACCTTGTTTCTCTCTCATTCTGGTACGTGTTCCATTTGATAATTACTAGCCACTATGAGAAAGCAAGATTTTCAGCTTTGTTTGAATGAGAATATCCTTAAGGTAGGCAAATTGTTGAGATATGAACTTATGGAAGCTGTAATCATATTCAAGTTGGTTAAGCTAATGATGTCTTAAGGTGCTAGAAATTAGCAATAATCTTCCCTTCGGACATGTCTCTGTATTTTGTTTGGTTATTCTACAAGCCAATTTTTTTTCACAACCTTGAATTGTCGGACTTCATGTCCTCTTCTACAATTTCCTCTACCCATTCATCTTATTTCATAATTTTTCTCTAGTAATGTTTCATTGCAATGAGTATGTCTCACAACTGTTCGAATTCTTTCGATTTTCTCTTTTTGTATTTGATTTACTGTTTCGAATCTAGTCCTTTAGACTCTTCAGTTGTTCCACTGTTTATAGTTTATATTTTGTCAATCAGTCTCTTATCTGTTGTGTATGTCATTTTTTGACTAAATTATTGTTGATCACGTCTGATATTCCTCTCTGCTTACAATTATGTGCTTTGTATAGTTGGCTGTTGTTAGGCTTGTGACTTATATGGCAATCTATAGACTTACTCTCTGCTCTCTTCATTAGTCAAATATTTGCACCACCAGCTGTGACACATATTACCTGTGCTCTTTTCCACTCTTGTGCTTAAACGAGATCTTAGACTGTATGGATCAGGTTTCTGTGTCCAGCACCTGTCACCTGAGGGTGTGGATGAGTGCTTGTGTCCAGGGGGGTGGAATGTGGCTTTGAGCGCTTATGTGTACACCACACTAGAGTCCACTGTAGGACTACGCGACTCGGGGTGCACGGGGGTGCAGCTAGAGGCCTGGCGAGTGCTTAGGGTTGCGGGGCGGGACCGGGCCGGGGGGGAAGGGGGGAGGGGGCGTACGTTATGCAAGCGACCCTGACCGTCCTCACTACAGCTGAGCTCGAGGCTCGAGACCAGGGGGAAGTGGAAGTGAAGTGTCAACGGGGCCGGCCGGCTCCGCGGGGCGGGGCTGGGCGGGGCGGCCGGCCGAGCAGGCAACTGCTTTCCCGCCAAACAGTGGCGCGATGCGAGTCGAGCCGGGTCCTCGAGCCGTGCCGGGCCCGGGGCGGGTAGAGCAGCGCGGAGCGCGGAGAAGCGCGCCTGGCCTGGCGCAGCTCTGGCGGCGCGGTGCTGGCGCGGTGCGGCGCAGCCCGCAGCCCGCGCAGCGCCGCGCAGCCCTGGCCGGTGCCGGGCGCGGGCGCGCGGCTGGTCCCATGCCATCCATGCCCCAGTGGGCCAAAGGCGGGCGGCTCGGGGGAGGAACACTTCGCTGGCGACCGCCGCGCCGGTGAGGCCGGGGCCGCCGGGCGGCTGGGCTTGGGCCCGGGGACACAACACCCCACCCACACGCGGCCCGCCGCGGGGGTTGAGGAAGGGCAGGGCTCCGCTTCTCCAGGGGTGGCCTGGACATTAGCCGCGGCCGACCGGCAAAGAACCAACTCACATGCCAAAGGGAGGGAGGGGGGGAGGGACATTTGCAGATCCATTAGTGCACTGGTCGGGGGAGGGGGGAGGGGGACTGCAACCCGTGGGAATTGCACAAGTGCAGACTTCCCTCCGTGTCAGGCCGGGCGCGACGGGCGCCTCGTGGTCTCGGCCGCGCGCGCGGCGCTTCTGCCCGCTCCGCTGTGCCCTGCCCTGCCCTGCCTCCACCGGGCTGGTTCTGTCCCGCCGCGCCCCGCCACAGCGGCGCTAGTCAGCTGATTGGGAACCGGCGGCTGCGGCCCGGTACCGCCGTCGAGGCAAGGGGCGTCCATTCCCCCCTCCCCCTCCTGTTCTTGACCTCCGCGGGGGCCCTGCCGCCGGGGCGGCGCGGGTGTAGGGCTATCTGGGCTATCCGCGAGTGTCGGCTCGCCGAGTGCCCCACAACAAGGGTACTACACCTGCCGGGCAGGAAGCCTAAAAGCACCACTCCTTTAGCCGAGCAGCGCACCACCGCTATTTGGCCTGCCCATTAGCTGTCAAATCGGCTGCGTCGCAGTAGCTTGGCCAGCAACGCCGGAACAATGCAATAAAATTTTCCAACACTTGAAAGCATGTCGGATTCCCACTCGTCGGAGTACAGTAGGCGCTGGCATTGGGCGCGATAAAGCCGAGTTTTCTCCCCGGCGGCCGCGCCGCGCGGCGAAGGTGCGCGGGGAGGGTTTTGCAATGCTCGGCGCGGATAAACCATTAAACTACTCGCCGCGAGGGGAATTCTCGCTCGTTCTGTACGGCCTCGGATCAACATTCTCCTCTGCCGCAGTCGCAAAGTCTCAATCTGTTTCTTTCGCCATTCATCAACTCGACTTTTCTTGTTGCAGGTCAACTACAAAAATGAGTGGGACGACCTTATGGACCAGTTCAAGCTGCCGCAGCAGTGTGTCAACGCCGGCGTCGCGCTCAAGCAGGTGTACCTCAGGTGAGTAGTAGACGGTGGGGCCGTGAGAGGCGGCGCCGCGGCGGCGGTGCGGCAACAGCGCCCGGGCGGGCCGCCCCCCTGGCGTCACGCCACTGCCCGGGCACATCATAGACCGCACGCTGGTGCAGGCCCGGCGTGCAGGCGTGCAGCCCGCGAAGAGGGAGTCGCGGGGTCCCCGTGACTCGAGGAGATGCGCGATAGATAAGCCGAGAGCGCCACCGAGACGGCCGCCCAACCTTTCGAGGACTTTGTTTGCTGGTCTCGTCGAGTGCTCCTCTGCTGCTGCTGCTCCGCCTCTGTTTCTCTCTCGCGACGCGATCTCTCCGTTCGCCCCACTCCACCCACCCCCTCGCGAGGCGTGAGCCAAAGCTGGGGCCGGCCTGCTCGTGAAATGCGAACGGCGGCGGGTTCTGGCCTTTATGGCCAGGCGGGTGAGTCACGCTTTTGGCGCGCGACGCTGAATAGTTTCCCCTCACGCGTGACTGTCACTCGCGGGGCGGGGGCCCCGCGGCCCGCCGCCGCCGCCGCCGCCGCCGAGGAGGACGCTGACGGCTGACGCCGCTGGGGAAGGACCATCACGGCGGCGGCTCCCCGGCCGGCCCTGGCCGCGTGCTTGGTGCAACAAGCGGCTGGCCTACTCGTGCCTCCCGCGGCACGCCGCCCGGCCGAGGTTGTCGACCCGCTCTCCCCGCGACCGACTTGTGTTTTGGTTCCCCTCCCACCACCCGCCGCCCCTCCCCTCCCCAGC